CAGCTAAACGTTTTAATTACATTGTATTGTTAAGGAAATATTAAGCTTCTCAATGATCAAAATTAGTGTTTGTCAAACTGCTATATAACCAATGAAATTTTTCTGATAAAGTGGTTGGTTCAAATTTTTTGAAATTTTTATATTTTTGTCAAAGGGTCAAAGTAAACATTTTGTCAAAATTTTATGAAAATTAAACGAGCCAAATTAATATTAGTCAAGGTGTTGGGTACCACCTTAATTCTATTAATATTTTATTATGTATTTATTGTAACATATTTTATGTGTTATTGTTCTCAGTTATAAGTATAAAGATTGTAAATATATCATTTCCTTTGAGTTAATTAGCAATTAGAATTTAAGGCATGTAAGAATGGTTTTCCATTTTTTTTTTTTTTACTTGGCATGTCATTTTCTTCCACTCCCATTTCCTTTTTATTTGTAGTGGAGGAAACATATGGGTTGCAGAGATTATATACTTTCTTCAACATGTTCAATCTGTTCAAGAAAACTAATCATTAACACTGAACTATGAATTAATTTTTATCAAAGACAAACATCTCTGTCAGATGGAATTTACACCTTACAAAATAATGTTCTAGATATAGTAACAACTAAATGATTACTGATTCATTAAAATGAAGTTAAGGTCATGTGATCCTGTCAGACAGGAAAAGTAATAGTTACACAGAAATTAGTGTGCTAACATTCCATTGGCAAATTTAGTCTGATACATTTTACAAAAGTGTGGGACTTTTACATCATGCACTGTCTAGAATGTACATGAGTCATACAGTAAAATTCATTAATGGCATTTGTTTAGAATCAGAAAAATATCAGGGTTGAAAAATGTGCTCACTGATTTATAAATAAATTTAAATGATTTCTGCTAAATTGTTTAGTAAAAATTTAGGTCTAAACTGTAATCTTCCAGTTTTCTATACTGGAGTGTAATAAATTATTTAATAACTCATGTTTACTTTCAAAGTTTCCATTCTTTGGCTGACTCATAATGAGTATAACAGGTTGTACTAAGGACCTTTCTAATGAGTAAAATTAAGAATTGGAAATGAGGAATGTGTCAAAGAGACAACAACCCGACCAAAGAGCAGAGACCTTGTTTTCTTTCAAATTTTGAACCTTGAACATGTTGAAGTACAAATAAATAGTTTTCTTATTTAATTGTTCCATATTTTTCATATTTGTGCCTTTTATAGACAGTTTTTCTCATTGTTGAAGGTTGTAGGGTTGCCTATAATTGCTTACATCCACTTCATTTGAACTCTGGTGGATATCATCTGATTCAATAGAGTTGCCTCATTGGCAATTATATACCACATCTCTTAATTCATTGTTATTCAGGTGATTTTTTCAAGCTTAATTTTCTAAATATATCACTGAATAGTAATCTTACATGTATATATGCAACTACTCAATATGTAATTTTATATTTTTAAGCTAAAATATATTCAATAAATACATTTATCATATATTTGTTATGAAACATTGGGGTTTGCATATTTACACAAAATATATATAACCACAGATTTGCCCTATTAATATTTCCAAATAACCAGTTAATTGTGCCTTGTCATTTGGTTATTAATGATGTTGTAAGCATTTCTAACAGCAATGACTGATGAAGAGGTGCTCATTTTGTCAAAATCAATGAAAATTAATTTGTCAAATAAATAAAGATAACTAACACTTAACTGCTAAAAGAAAATTTCACATGACATTACAATTTTCAAGTATTTTGAGTTTCGTAATAGTGAAATTATTTCAGTGGAAAAACATTTATGATCTTGCCAGAAAAATCATAAAATTCTTTCCTTAAGCATATGTATAAATATATGATATGTTCTTTTCCATATGGGCCCTAGTATCATCCCTTGATCCATATGAGCCCTCAGCTTGTGCCTTTAGCTAATATTAGTGTCTTGGGATGATACCAGGACAGATATGGAAAGACATGTTTCAGTCTATAAGTACATATAAAAATAATTAGATATGGTAAGACTGCTAATGAGACAAATATCCTGGGACCAAAGTTCAAATGAAAAGGATATATTACGCGCAATTGAAGTTTACTGTATGGATTTCAACAAAGATAAAACAGTCATGCTGTATAGTCAGCTATAAAAAGCCCCAAAATGAAAATGTAAAAAATTAAACAAGAAAACTAATAATATATTTATAAGTATTTTTGTGCTTTACATCCTATGAGCTGTGCCCTTTAACAATACCATTGCTGAAATATTTTACCACATATATACATTATTATAAGTAAACCAGAAATATATTAGTGCATCTCATGCATCACACACACACGAATACTGTGAAAGTACTTTTATTCGTGGGGTACCAATTTTCGTGGTTTTCGTGGAAGGTTTTATCCACGAATTTAAGTGTCCAACGAAATATAACAACTGTTGTCCAAATCAAGACATGGAAAAATCCCCTGTAGGTTCGACTACATGGATACGGGCATATTTTCTAGAGAAAACATCAAATATCAGCAAACGCACTATGAACTATATGCAGTGGCGTAGCAAAAGTGTAGCATGTACAACTTCAGACAGGATTTTAATTTTTAAATTATAAACCAAAGTAAAAAATTAGCTTTGAAAAATGAAAGTCAGACTTCCGGTTAAGATGTATGATGATGAAGTGTTAATTTTATCTGCTCATAATTCTCTCACGGAAAAAAATAATAATTGTTGCATATTGGGCTTGCTTTTTTTATTTCAAAAGTATTATTTCATAAGTATTCATTCATTTTGTTTAAGGGCCAGCTGAAGCCCACCTCCGGGTGCGGGATTTTCTCGCTGTGTTGAAGACTCATTGGTGGCCGTCAGCTGTTTTCTGCTGTTTGGTCGGGTTGTTGTCTCTTTGACACATTCCCCATTTCCATTCTCAATTTTCTTCAAAGTACATTTGTAGCATTTTTATGCAATTTTTTTCTTTAGATGACATGTTTATGGCCCAATTAACACCTTTGATGATCGTTAATCTCTTGATTATTGGATGTCGGGTTAATTGGTGTCACCACTTCTGATTACACGTGTGCAACAATCAAAATGTTTACTTTGCAATTTTCTTCAATGAGACCATTTGTATTCAGAGATGAGTCAGCTTATTTCTGAAAGCAATTATTTTATAAAAAATTTGATGAATGTTGTCAGAAAATTAAAGACGAACATATAAGTGAAAATGAACACCATATGATTATTTTCAAGATACTTCGTTTCTGATGGGATCCAATTTTCACCCAAATTTTTTTCTCAGAAAACTAAAATCCATGAATTTAAGAACCCACGAACATGTAACTTTTGCTCAATCCATGAAAATTGATAACCATGAATAAAAATCCTTTCGCAGTATGCATATATGTAGTAGCATGCTTTCCTAAGCTTAAAACCAAATTTCATGAGCTCTAATTTGCAGTTCCTGAGAGAAACACAACCAACATTTATTGCAATATAGTTCCCTCTCCTAGAGTGAGGATGTATTGATTTGAATTTATATTATTTATTTTTAGAAGTATACAGTGTATTCAATGGAATTAAGGTTATTACTCTTCAGAATCAGGATTACTTCAGTTTAAATTAAATGATCCATAAATCAGCAGACATATAATTATTTAATACAACAGAGAAATTTATTCAAGTTGCTTGTTTATCACTTCAAAAACATTAAACATAAATAAACAGTCAGTTGGCAGGTTCAAAATATTGCAATCTTAAACAGCATGAGTTACAGACATGATTTAAATTAGAAATCTAGTTAAAATGGTTCTTTTTTCTTCCATTGGTTTAGGAATTTCAGACAATTACAAGTATCTCACACATATCCAAATAAAATAAGGGATATATTTTAAACATAGTGAAACCTGTTGCGAATGTTTCCTGTGCAGGTTTTAAATAGTGTGTTTTTGTTGGATGTTTGTATGACAGGCAAAAGGACACAATATGTTTAACAAAATAAAATTGTACTTTATTAGCATGATTGATGAAGTTTATCTAAGTTGAATACTGAAATATCAGAAATTATTGCAATAAGAAATTATTGCAATAATATATTATTGTGAATTTTACATGACCATACAAAATTAAAGATTAATTTTTGCAATTTCATGAAAAAAGTGCAAACAGATATAATTTTAATTTTGTATTCATATATATGGATTGTGATTTTATATTATTGTGATAGTCATCCTTACTTTAAGACAATTTTCAACCAATGTTTAAATATTTAAAGTCTTGCAGTGAAACACCACCATTCAGAAGTCAAGTGCTACTAAAAATAAACCCCGGTTTTCTGAATATCTTCAATGAGCATACTATCGAGCACATTAATCCTCAATTTTTAAAGCATAATCTTTGACTTGTAAATTTTAACTCAAAATTAATGTAAAAATAAGAAGATGTGGTATGATTGCCAATGAGACAACTCTCCACAAGAGACCAAACATCACAGAAATTAACAACTATGTCACTGTATGGCCTTCAACAATGACTATAAACCATACCACATTATCAGCTATAAAAGGCCCCGAAATGACAAATGTAAAACAATTTAAATAAAAAAACTTAAGGCATGATTTATGTTCAAATTGGTCTATATGTATATTTCATTTCTACAAATTTGTTTGCTAGTTTAAGTAAACAACAGCATATGTTCTAAAAACTAAAATAACAAAAAATACCGAACTTCGAGGAATATTCAAATCGGAAAGTTCGTAGCCAAATGGCATAATCAAAAGCACAAACACATCAAAAGAATGAATAACAACTGTCATATTCCTGACTTGGTACAGGCATTTTCAAGTTGAAGTGGGTGAATTGGTGTCCAAACAAATTAATGGAAACCTTACAATAATTTCTAATTCACTGTACCTTTGATGCCAAAATGTTAGAATTTACCTAGAAACTGAAATGGAAGGCTGTATTGTTACAAAGATATCAATGGAGGACAACACATAAAATTCTAACAAAACTCACCTATTTCAGGGTTAATATCTTTGACAATAAAACCATCCTTGTCAATACCCTGTCTTATATACAACTCTGCCTCTTTAACTGCACTAGACACCTAATGAGGAAAAAGAAATGAAAATTCTATGATTGTTTGAATTCATATGTTATGTATGTATATATATTAACTTATGAAGTAAGATTGGTTTAATACATGCTAGCTATATTCATAAAGCAAAGGCTGATCCAGGAATTCTTTCACAAGGGAGGCTCAACTGCCAAGTTAAAAGGCAAAAGATGGATGTCAATAATAGCCTCTCGAGAGATTCACTTAGTGTAAAAATAGATGCTAGTTTGTCCCTCACATTTGGATGTGCAGGAGCAATTTTCCTAAAGATTGGACTCTGATAAGAAGGGAAAAGTAGCATTATATCTGCACCTTTTAATTTTATTGAACCTATATGCTGAGAGTACCATGAGATGCACAAGCAGATCGTAGAGGTCACTAGCGTATTTGGTCTTATGAGGTCAATTCATGAAATTTATCCCTCTTAAGTTTATTGGAAATAATGGATATCTTACTTGTTTTTATTTGGAAATTAATTTATTTGTGACATTTGGAATACGATATTTACGATTTGATATAGTTTTTGGATTCATTAATATTCTAACGATGTAGCTTGTGATGGATAATTTTGTTACGTTGTCAGCAAACATTTGCTAATGGAACGGTAACGGAACTTTCTGGCAAGGCCAAGACAAGTTCTAAAAGTGACAATATTTTCAGCCCAAATTATGACCACAGGCAACTTATTTCGCCAGGTTATGATAACAAAAAACAGTGCTTTTCAAGCGAGTATTGAAAACACTATTGTAGGAGGTGGAGCCATGGGTAATACTCCTGTCAATCAAACACAGGAAGTAGCTATATCGGATTTCTACAATATGTTATTGCAGAATCAGTTATACATACAAACTTTGATGCAAAAACAGAATTTACAAACTGATACTATTCAGACAGCACCAAAGATTTATTCTAGACAATTGGCAACAATGGCCAGACCAAGAAAGGTCGTTCAAAATAAATCTAGAAAAGATAACTATCAATCACAAATGGACTGTTTGTTTGACACAAACAATAATATTTCTGCACCTTCTGAATTATATCCAGATGTTTCATGTGACAAACAAAGTTAAGATTGCAATGATGAAGATTGTTCGGAGAACAATGATCATGATGAACATGAAGCAGATCTAGAAAAAACTAAAAATGCAAATGTCTTAGAACCAATGAAAGATTTTATTATAAATTCTGATGAAAAGACAGGTCCAAAAATTAATCATGGTTTAGCCAATCATATGAACCAGGGACTGAGGACAAGAGTGAATGAAGATAAATTCAAAGAACTCACCAAAAAGTATGATAAACCTGGAAGCCATTGTACATAGCTTATAGTAATGACGCTAATTTAGCTCTTGTAAACCGATAAATTTATTCACATAGCACCATTAATATGATCATTATATGCCTTGGTTGTATTTTAAAAGCTAAATGTATCTACTACCTATTGAGCATCATTTATTGTATTTTTCTGCATTCAGTCAATTTAAAACTATTGTCTGATCGGTTGTCATGTGGAATTTTCAAAAAGTTAAAAATGTTTTATAAAATCCTAATCAAATATTTCATGGAAAGAAAGACTAACAAGAGGCTCTCAAGAGTCTGAATCGCTCACCTGTATTTCAGAGGAGAAGATTTTTAAATGTTAGCAAACTTGATGAACAAATTGTGTAAAATTGTCTTTAAAGGGCAATAACTCCTTAAGGGGTCAATTGACAATTATGGTCATATTAACTTTTTTGTAGATCTTACTTTGCTGAACATTATTGCTGCTTACAGTTTATATATATCTATAATAATATTCAAAATAATAACAAACAACTGCAAAATTTTGTTAAAACTACCAATTCGGTACAGCAACCCAACAATGGGTTGTTCGATTCGTCTGAAAATTTCAGGGCTGATAGACCTTGACCAATTAAACAATTTTACCCCATGTCACATTTGCTCTAAAAGATTTAGTTTTTGAGATATAAGCCAAAAACTGCATTTGACCCTTATGTTTTATTTTTAGCCATGGCGGCCATGTTTGTCGATGGATACAAACTTCGGATACAATTTATAAACAAGATACCCTAAGAAACATTTAGTTAAAGTTTGAAGGTAATTGGCCCAGTAGTTTCAGAGGAGAAGATTTTTAAATGTTAGCAAACTTGATGAACAAATTGTGTAAAATTGTCTTTAAAGGGCAATAACTCCTTAAGGGGTCAATTGACAATTATGGTCATATTAAATTTTTTGTAGATCTTACTTACCAGAACATTATTGCAACTTACAGTTTATATATATCTATAATGATATTCAAAATAATAACAAAAAACTGCAAAATTTTGTTAAAACTACCAATTCGGTACAGCAACCCGACAATGGGTTGTTTGATTCGTCTGAAAATTTCAGGGCCGATAGACCTTGACCAATTAAACAATTTTACCCCTGTCACATTTGCTCTAAAAGATTTAGTTTTTGAGATATAAGCCAAAAACTGCATTTGACCCTTATGTTTTATTTTTAGCCATGGCGGCCATGTTTGTTGATGGATACAAACTTCGGATACAATTTATAAACAAGATACCCTAAGGAACATTTAGTTAAAGTTTGAAGGTAATTGGCCCAGTAGTTTCAGAGGAGAAGATTTTTAAATGTTAGCAAACTTGATGAACAAATTGTGTAAAATTGTCTTTAAAGGGCAATAACTCCTTAAGGGGTCAATTGACAATTATGGTCATATTAACTTTTTTGTAGATCTTACTTTGCTGAACATTATTGCTGCTTACAGTTTATATATATCTATAATAATATTCAAAATAATAAAAAAAAACTGCAAAATTTTGTTAAAACTACCAATTCGGTGGCAGCAACCCAACAATGGGTTGTTCGATTCGTCTGAAAATTTCAGAGCTGATAGATTTTGACTAATTCAATAAATTTACCCCATGTCAGATTTGCTCTAAAAGCTTTAGTTTTTGAGATATAAGCCAAAAACTGCATTTGACCCCTATGTTCTATTTTTAGCCATGGCGGCCATGTTTGTAAATGGATCAAAACTTCGGATACAATTTATAAACTAGATACCCTAAGGAACATTTATTTAAATTTGAAGGTATTTGGCCCAGTAGTTTCAGAGGAGAAGATTTTTTAAATAGTTTACGACGACGACAGACGACGACAGACGACGGACGCCAAGTGATGGCATAAGCTCACATGGGGCCCTTAGGGCCCCGGTGAGCTAAAAATTGGCAGAGGATGAAGACTAATAACCTAGATAACACACACAAACAAGAATGTGTCCATAGTATACAGGTTACACAGATGCCCCACTAGCAGTATCATTTTCTATCTTCAGTGGACCGTGAAATTGAAGTCAAAGCTCTAATCTGGCATTAAAATTAGAAAGATCATATCATGTGTACCAAGTTTCAAGTTGATTGGACTTCAACTTCATTAACAAATACCTTGACTAAAAACTTTAACCTAAAGCGGGACAGACGAACGGACGGACGGACGGACAAATGAATGGATGCACAGACAGAAAAAACATATACCCCAAGGTGGTGCATAAAAATGAAATTATTTTGAAATTATGCATTTTTAAGATCCACTTTTTATATGTTTTCAAGTACTTTTAGTAAAAATTTGTTAATTGAACACACCTACACTGTTGTTATGACTCATTTATTAATACTTACATTTTTCTGGCCTTTGATTTGGGCACGTTCACTTTTCCTTGTCCTGTATAAAAAATATTTCATTTTAATACATTTTATATGTTTGAGCAATTTCAAAATTATTTTAGAAATTTCTGAATTATATTGATTTAATTTAAAGAATATACATATCTGTGTATATATATATAGGATAAGATTAGAGATCACCAAATGCGGCCAAAAAATATGAAGTACTGTTTTATGTACATGTACATCGCATGTATAATTAAAGAACCTTTGTGAGCACGCTCACATACCCCAAAGCCCCCACATTGTCACTGGACAAACAAAATCTCAACAGATTCCTAAGTTCAAAGACTCATAACTCTACAAAACAAACTGAAAAGTAAACTGATAAAAATTTTCTTGTGAATATGCACATTTACATATTATGTTTTCATTAACTACAAAGTTTCATGAAATTGTCTTGTGTGGTTTCAGAGGAGTTGCGATTACAAACTGTTGCAGTAGTATATTTAGACCAAAATTAAGTTCAAAGGGGCATAACTCCTAGAAAAAAATTGAATCATAATTTCCTGTGGATATGCACATCTACATAGTATGTCCTTATTATCTACAAATTTTCATGAAATTCTGTTGTGTGGTTTCAGAGGAGTTGTGATGACAAAGTATATTTTGGCCAAAATTTTAAGTTAAAGGGGCATAACTTCTAGAAAAAAATTGAATCGTAATTTCCTGTTGATATAAACATCTACATAGTATCATGTCCTTATTATCTTCAGTTTCATGAAATTCTGTTGTGCGGTTTCAGAGGAGTTGCGATGACAAGAACGGGACTGGCCAAATTCTAAGTTAAAGGGGCATAACTCCTAGAAAAATAAATGGGGAATATGTCCATGTGACACAGATGATGCCCCCGCTTGCATATCATATAAAGTTATAAAGGGACATAACTGAAGAACAGTAAAAGTGACACTACCCAAATTTGTACTTCATCTGAGTTTTGTGGTAATAAGTATTGTGTATAAGTTTCACAACATTTGGTTGAGGCAAACTGAACTTAGAGAAAAGAAACGAAAAATTCAGCAATTTTTCCCTTTGTAAAGGAGCATAACTCTAGAACAGAAAAAAAGATGCTACCAAAATTCAAACTTGATCTGTATTTTGTGGTAATAAGCCTTGCACATTAGTTTCATAATATTTGGTTGAGGCAAACTAAAGTTAGAGAACGGTAAAGAAAAAATTCAGCAATTTTTCCATTTGTAAAGGAGCATAACTCTGGAACAGTTAAAGTGACGCCACCAAAATTCAAACTTGATTTGTGTTTTGTGGTAATAAGCATTGTGTATAAGTTTCATAACATTTGGTTGAGGAAAACTAAAGTTAGAGAACGGAAACCAATTTTTGGACGTACGTACGTACGTACGGATGGACGGACGGACGGACAGCTGAAAAACATTATACCTTCCGCAACTTTGTTGCGTGGGGTATAATTAAACATTAAGGGCTGTTCCAGAATGAAACAAATGGGCAGGAAGGAGAAAAGGTGTATGGATAGGGCTTGATATTACCATTTGTCAGATTGACCTAGACAATTAAATGAAGGTATTGGACAAATAGAATTAACATATAATTTTTTATTGACAAGCGGAAAAACTATTAATTAGATCTGATTTCCTCTAATGACCTATAAAAAGAGTTGCACAACATAATTATTTATTTAAGTACATTGGTTTGCAATCATTCAATGATTAATTGGCCTCTTTGACAACTATATTGCTGTTAAAGGTGTGAAAGGGAAAACAAATTTCAATTTTCTTCAGATTTCTTGTTTGATTGCATGAGCTATTAAGCCACACCAATTAAATTCTTGTTCTACCTGGTTTTTTTTCGACTCCAACAATTGGGGCGAGCGGGTTGGAAAATTTTAATAAAAAAAACTTTAATTTGCAAATTTTTGAGGCGAAGCTTGAAAAGTAAAAGCGAGTGAATATATTTATTTTGTAAACATAGGTTTTGACAATATTGATCAAAACACCGTGGGATAAAACTTGATTTACCACTTGTACTTTGACATTTCTTTAATTTATGAAGTGTTTTTTTTCTTTCCTGTTCACCAAGAAAGATAATTGAATAATTACTTCAACTGCTTTAAATGATCTCCATTGAATTGTCATAGATGTCTTTCCTCCTTTACAGACATGACTTCTAACTAGCAACATGGTGGCTGTCTTGCAAGAAGCAGGAACTGCTCATCCTTCCGGAACACCTGAGTTCACCTCCAGTTTTTTGGGGTTCGAGCTGTTCGTTAATGTGTGTACATTTTAGTTCTTTATGTTATATGATGGTTGTCTGTGTCTCTGTCGTTTTGGTGTTCTCATTTTAGTTCTTTGTCTTTTATTCTTTTTGGCACTATGTGTATACATAATATGTGGTATGAGTGCCAATGAGACAATTCTCCATCCAAGTCATAATCAGGTTGGGAACAACCCCTCAAAAGATGGGTAACCTCTCAATGTAATAACTCTTTTTTTTAGGAGGAGTACATTTCAAGTGATATACAGTATTTTTTTTTTGTAAAAACCACTTTCTAGTTCAAAAGGGCACATATTTATATCATTTGAAGAACCTTTTCCCAAAGAACTATACATATATCTGGTATTACATGGTCAAAACATGTCCAAGAATTTTGTAATAGGTGTCAGACCACCAATTACTCCCTCCAATTTTAGAACGTATGTGAAAGTAGGCCTACTCGGACAAAAAATAGTGCATTTGATGTCATTGTTTACTTAAACTAACCAACAAATTGGCAGAAATGAAACTTTTGGTGAAAGAGAATTATATTAAGACCATTTTCAGCCAAAATTTACTTGTCTATGAGTTTGCATTCAACAGTGAGGATTAATGCACTCCATAGTATACTAATTTAAGATTTCCAGAAAACCAGGGGTTATTTTTAGTGGTACCTCTATTCGGGAGGCCTCTTCTTTCTTATATGATTTTAAAGGTATGTTGAAAATTGGCATGTAGAAAGCTGATACATGTACAATTCAGGATATACCTGGTTTCTATGAAATTAAACTTAAGGTAAAATATTTAGAAAGCTGTGAAAATTGCAAATTTTGGTTGAACAGATAGGGACTTTTAATTGGTGGTCTGACACCTTTAAAGGGAAATTGCGGTTAAACCCCAAAATCAGAAAACAATTGATTTTTTTGTCTTAACTGATCATTTGAAATGATAGTAGCCACATTTCAATCTTTTTTGGGTGAAAAAGTCACATATTGCAAATTAAGAGCCTTAAACCTGAATTTGTGCTATTTTTAGCTTTTCCCAACCTGACAATATGCTTTCATATAAACAAATGTCCAAAATTGTTATAAATGCACAGTAAGTTGTTTCTGTGGTGTTAAACATGAAAACATCGGTTGTTTACTACCCAAAAAAAATTGTTGTCATGAAGATTTAATGAAATTATTTGATTTTTACCTCTTATATCATTGTGTCATACCATGTATTTGGCAGATAACATAGCCTGATGTAAACACTGCATAAACTCACAAAAATCCCATTTATTATCTCAAATAAAATTTTTATATCTTAAATTTTATTGACTGATAGTAAATAAAACAATTTAATGACCATGACTGCACTTTTGATCAATTAATAGTCCCATTACTGACACCAGGTGAAAAAAAAGGGGGTCAATATTCCTTGACTCTTCAATACCTTGGATTTTTTACTAAACTCATTGCAAAAATTGTGGAAAGTCTTTAAAGCAGTAGAACAAGCAAGGAAAAATCAACACAAACTGATCTTGATATTGAAAGTTTATGTTCCTGTAGTCCAAAAATGAAATTTTCAAGTATTTTCTAAAAAAATCATACATTACAGTCAGTTTAAATTGAGCTGTAAAATTTGTAATATAAGTCGCATTATGCTCAGATAGGATGTTTTTAACTACAAATTGACTATGGATTAAGAATAAAGAAAAACAAAAGATTTCTGATCAACTTTTTTGGCTCTTTAGGTGTCAGACCACCAATTACTCCCTCCAATTTAGAACATATGTGAAAGTAGGCCTACTCAGACAAAAAATAGTGCATTTGATGTCATTGTTTACTTAAACTAACCAACAAATTGGCAGAAATGAAACTTTTGGTGAAAGAGAAATATATTAAGACCATTTTGAGCCAAAATTTACTTGTCTATGAGTTTGCATTCAACAGTGAGGATTAATGCACTCCATAGTATACTAATTTAAGATTTCCAGAAATTAAACTTAAGGTAAAAATTTAGAAAGCTGTGAAAATTGCAAATTTTGGTTGAACAGATAGGGACTTTTAATTGGTGGTCTGACACCTTTAATAGTCCTGCATGGACTTTAATTATATATATCTTCTTTATTATTAAAAATAAGTGGACCCCTCTTTTAAAAAAGTTGTTCCAAATATGATGAATTTTCCCCCCTTTTAGGTTAAAAAATATACGTTTTTTCTGTTTTCTTTTCTACAACAGTTAAATGAGGGACAGTCTTTCATTTAAGGGATTATTCATTTGGAGGATTGTTCCCAACCTGATAATGTATTTAGAGTTAATACAATTACAGGTCATAGTACGGCCTTCAACACAGAGCTTTGGCCCAGACCAAACAGCAAGCTATAAAGGACCCCAAAATTACTAGTGTAAAACAATTCAAACATGTCAAACAGGAAAACCAACGATCTAATCTATATACAAACGGAGAAATAACTATGGACCACACCAACAAACCACAACTACTGAACAACAGGCTCCTGACTCAGGATAGGTGCATAGACATTCGGTCCGAGTACACAGTTATTTCATAGTGCATTTCTTTTAGACAATAAATGAAAATTAAAAAAATCCCACCTGCGCTTTCTCAATAATATTTTTACAGTGTGTTGTACTACTTATGGGACAAATTATATCAAAATTATAGAAAACTACATCGGCTCTAACTCAAAATATGGACAATTTCATGTTAAGGGGGTCTTCAAATCTTTTGACAGCTTCCGAAGTGCTAATTTTTAACATTTTTCAGCTGGACCAAATCACTA